ACTTGCCATGAATCTGCGTGTTAATAATTCATCACTATCAGCCTTTTTTTCTGTTCCACCTCCCCTATCATAACCTGTTAGATGTAGGGATGGGAGTTAGGGGCCTTATTCTTTCTTGTTAACTAATATGTTGGCAGGGATTTAAATTCAGTGCTCCTTCTAGACTGGTTGCCTCTAATAAATCACTGAATGCAGTTCTATTTTACCCATAGCTGGAGTTCAAATTCCTTCTGAAGAAGTTTATTTGTGTATAAATACCATTTTAAAAAAAAAAAAAAAAAAAAAAAAAAGTTATGAATCTATCTTTTCCATAGTTTAAGGATTACTCCTAGCTGTCAGCCTCAAGTGATTGTTGAAAAATTTAGTGTAGGTGGAACCTTTTTCTCAGTCCTGTAAGGCAATCCATCTAGGAGAAGATTAGTTTGGCAGTCGCCTTGGCCATCTCTGCATACTGAGTTAGCGAGGAAAGACTCCTAGGTAAAAGAGTGGATTCTGGATGTGCACAAGTTGTTCTCATAATGAAATGTTCATCTAAAGTTTAGGAAATGACTATTAAAAAATTCAACATCCACTTTCCAGCATCACTCATTCTCCTGTTTGTTCAATGACTGCTCACAAAGGGTTGCAGCAAAAGTCCTTCATACTACATTCAATCTGTGGATGCCATGCTTATATTCACCAAATTTTAGGTATCATCTTGTGAGTTATATACACACACACATACACACAAGGGGTGCTAAAAAGCTTTTAGTTCATGCAAGAAGCTCTTCTGGGTGGGGGAATCTAACCTGCCATACTTTGGGAAGTGATTTAAACCAAAAAAATAAAATACTCAGATACAGATAAATCTGTGTGTGTGTGTGTGTGTGTGTGTGTGTAGAAGATTAGCAATAACATGGCTCCCCCACCCCACCCAAATCATACAAATTGTTTAGAGATAACTGAATGATTGATGAAGCAAAATCAAATTGTCTTAATGGTTTGTTTATATATGATGTGTGTATATATATATATATATATATATATATATATATATATATATATATTAGAGAACTAACATATTTAGTTGAATGGATATGAGTTTGTGATCCTTGGTTTTATGCTTATGTGATCCTCAGACAATTTGTTTGAGGTTCACATAAGCGTGAAAAGCCAGGGTCACAAACTCATATCCATTCAACTAATATATATATATATATATATATATATATATATATATATATATATATATATAATACACATACTGATTGGATCACTTGTAAGTTCTTGCTTGTAATCAGGGGAGTGAGAATTGTCTTGTGTCATTTTCTTTTCTTTGTTCCCTTTACTACTCATGGAAAACAGTCAATTATGATGGAGGAACAATTACACTTGTACCTTTTGAGAAAGATACAACTCAAAAATCAATTGTCATTTTGTAGTTTCTATTTCATGAAGCATTTTGGGTTTCTTTATCCTGTTTGCATATTTCAAAATTATAGAATTATTATTAGTTGTAAAATTTTGATACATTTTTAGTTGGTTTGATATAAATGTTTGCATGACTGAAATTTACAGTTTTTCTTGTGGCTGAAATAATTTCTTTTTGGGAGTGCCATGGGTTAATATGAGTTAAGTTAAAAAAAAAAAAATAAAATAAAATAAAAAAGAAGCTTTTAAATGTTTTTTTAGTAAGTAGACCCAACCTCCCAACTTGAAAAACTGTAAATCTCCCTCCTCCCAACATTTCCTTACTTTTTGACCTTAAGTTAAACTAAATGCGACACAGATATCACTATGATAGATTTTTATATTTTACAAAAAGCTAAACTTTCATTTTTCTCAATGTATTAATTTCTCTGTTCAAATCTTTTTCTATATCAAAATAACATTTCATTTTGTTTTACTTTTAGTTTCTTTTATTTGTATATCATGTCCAATTCTTTCAAGAAATTTGTAGGTTGCTGTTAAAAACTTTTTAAGACTGTTTTTTTTCTTTTTTCTTATTAAGACAGTTATATATAAAAAGAAAGCCTTGTATATATAGTCATTACTTTCAATTCATATTATCCCAATCTTCATTCACAGTTGTAAAGTGGACATACTATCTGCAGATATGACCAGTTGATACTGTAAATATAAATTCATCTTTTTGTTGAAAATAAAAACTATTAAATGTGGATTTTTACAGTTTATAACTTTTCAATACTGTTTGTTAATGTCAACAACAATCTGGATTCTGGATTTTTCTTTTTGTTCAATATAAATACATTTTTTTTTTTTTTGTCATTATTCAATTTTTTTTTTTTTTTCTCTTTGACAGTTCCTGGTTTTCCTGGTGCTAATCTTTCTCTTGGAGGTTGCTGGTGTAGCCTACTGCTGTGTAATGAGAGAAGAGGTAATTAGTGCTTTTATTATTTCTTTCATTTTGACAAAACTTTTATCACCTGTGTGGAGTGTCACATGTTTTTAGAAAATGACAAATTTATTTTCTTAGATGAGATAATTTTTATAAAAATTAGAATTTTAATAGATGATATGGCTAACCTTAATTAAATAAACTTTTAACTAAGAAGTAATGTATCAAAACTGGCAGAATTTTGCATTGATAATATCGCATATTTTAGTTTATCCATGAATATTGTTTAATAATAATTGGTTCAGAAGTCATAATTGGTCAAATTAGAGTTATTTAATGAAATCTATAAAATAGATTTCCTAACATCTGCCTTTTCAATTGCATTTATTTTTAATTTTTTTATTTTTAAAGATGAAAATTTCAAGTTTATTTTAGAGTTTCACCTTTTTAGTTGTTTTGCATACAAAAATAAAGTTAGCACATATGGGCTTCAAGGGATAAATAAAAAACAAAGATGTGCATCTTGTTAAACAGGGTAATTGTACCTTACTTGGCTGTGAAGTCTTTTCATGGCTGAGTGGTCTAAAGCAAACCAGGGTGATGGTAGTAAAGAAGGATGCATATTTGAACTCTGCCAGAAAGCACTTATTTTAAAAAATTCTCAACTGCACAGGTCAGTACATCTAAATTTACACTGTTTAAAAAACAGGGACGACTATTTCAACATGTGCATCCACTAAATATAACAAAGTAATAAGATATAAATAAAATGAGACAGCAAATATTAAAAGTACCTATAGAATGTAAGCAAATATCAAAAATTTTCTTTGTATATTTAGCAAGTAAAAAAATCAAGTGAATATAACATGCATTCAAATTGTTAATATCTTAATATTTATCAGTGTTGTGATAGAAAACATATATACACAATATGAACTTTAAAGTTTTCCCCCTTGTGGATAGAAATAGTACATTTTGAGACCCACCCTCATTAGCATTGATGATAACCATTTCTTGCTAAGTATTAAATTTTATGTCAGAAAATGAGGTTGTGTGGAAGTGATCCAGTTTATCATCTGGTAATTTTCATTGAATTTTATTTTATTTTTTTTTTTTTTTTTTTTAACATAAAATTTGAGCAATTTTCAGCACCCAGTCTAAATGATGGACATTGAAAATCAGAAAGTTTCTGTAATTGGGAATTACTGTAAGTGTTACTGACAGAAGCAGAGGATTATGATAATAGCAACTTTATGGAGGTGACAGCAACACGCAGCCTTAGCATTAACTGGATTAAAAAACAAAAACTTTGTGATGATTACAAATTTGGTTGCAAGAAATTGTGCAAAAGTCAGAAGACATGGAGAAGAAAAATTTTCAATTTAGCATCAGATGGTTTTAAAAAAAGAGAAAAGTGGTAAGACCTTAAATTTCTGACAGCAGTGATAGCAAATGTCTCAAAGATATTTGGCATGTTCAAAAATTTAAAGATGTCAAATGCACAATCCTCAAAATTAATTTCCAGAAAAAAAATATGTTCTCACCTTTCAAAAAGCAAGAGTTTGTGATGTTCATGATTGGTCAAGCAAAAATTTGTCTGAGCTGCTGGGCTCTCTAGGAAAGGGAGTGAGAAAAAAAACATCTGGGTTTTAGTCACTGGTTTTGGCAGAAATTACATGCAATGTAAGGGGTTTTGTTTTGACAAGGTAAGTCATTGTTTTCTGCTTCACTGAAACCCACTGTTTCAGTTATCTCATCAACCATCATGTTGATCAAATGAGATGGAAAACAAAATACCTTATTTCACAGCCTATTAAATGCACCTACACATTTCATACACCCAGATTTTGGCATAGAATATTTAGAAAAAAGAAATGCACAGATCATAACCAAAAAAAAATCAAAATTCTAACCTTACCTTTGTGACATTCTCACTAACCATGAAGGAATACAGTATTAGTACAAATTAAACTACTGGTACTTTTTTTTAACAGGAGTGAGGTAAGGTTAACAGGACATTTTTGGGAAAAGAAGAATTTTAGTACATTTCATCAGGCATTGATTGAAAATTGTTTTAGTTGTTTTTTAGGGAGCAACATCTGCACATACAGTAAATTCATAATAGCTACAAAGAAATCTACTAGCATTGTTGAACAACGGTATGTATGGTAATAGGCAAAAACCAGAAATATGGTACTTGTTGGTAAATACATGCAAATTCCAATACTTGTATATCAATAAAAACATACACAAAGCAAACAGCAATATACCAGTCAAAGCAAATATTTCTGTAGAATCTGGTATTTATACAAAACAAGCAGCAAATTATTGGACAATTCCATAAATTCTCTCAATTTTTTTTTCTTGGGTGAATTTTTCATGGTCTTTATGTCCCTCTCACACATGATACTGCTGTATTGGACACAGTGTAATTTTTTGCTGCATTTAAAATAAAATATCTGCATCCAATATAATATGGTATACAAAAACCCAAAATATCAATTTTGGTATAAATGACTAAACTTGGATTGTCACTAGCCAGAATTCATAGAAAGAAAGGGAATCTGTTAAGAGGCTCTGAGATGCTGGATTTTCATAGATTTGACATTCCCCGACTCCACCCTGCAAAAAAAAAAAAAAAAAATAACAATGTCTGGTATTGTGAGATATTGCTGGGGCACTCTAGTGGTAATAATACTTCTGTCCAGAAACCATGTCTAACCCCAGAGTCATTATCTGATGAGGGCTTTGTAAAGGTACTGTGCAAGATATATATATATATGCACGCACCATGGAGTTATGTTTAGCTGGTCAGATTGAGGAATCAGATAGCAGATATTGAAATCTAGTCGAGTTTGTTACATTCACCTACATGAAAATACCCTTGGGAAAAGTATGAATTCAATTCTTTTCCTCATAGCTATGGGTAGATTGAGTCCTATAGCCTTGAGTGGCAACTGGTCTAGTAGAAGGATCACTCTGAATTCAAAATCTGAGGAGGATCATTTAGAGACCTTGTGGTACAAAATGTACACTAGTTCACTGTTTTTAGCTCCTCCGAGAAGTATAGTTGGTTCTGCCCAAGCCATCACCACTATATGTACTCTCATATATCAAAAATGATGGGTGAGTCCAAATATATATATATAGTTCCTGATGTAGACTTGATGATACTAGTATCCATTTGTTTCTATGGACAAATTTGTATCTGATTAATGTCATTGCAAGGAAACTTCCACTAACCTGAACGGTATCTTCAATGTCACAGATAACAATATTGACTTCCAAATCAAGTTCTCTGAATTGAGTGATGCTGTTGCTGCCACTCTACAGCTAACCATTTATATACCCTGGCTCAGAAGTGGCAGTAGATGGCATCCCAGTAGAAGGGATAGTAGTCTTTGTTCAACTCTCCAACTAAAATGTGTTTTTTATTAAAATGTCATTTTGGAGTCAAGATTGATTTCAAAGTTATCCATGTTAAGTTTTTTTTTTTTTTTTTTTTTTTTTAGCGGGTGAGGGTTCTGCTTGCAAATTATTTTGAAAGCAATTTTCTGACTTGAAAGTTACAATTTGAACACAGAAAAATGTTTTAAATTTTAGTTTCCTCTTTCTATAACAAAGGAAACTCCTAAACACAGTAAAAACTTATATATCAAGTTTATAATTAAATTATTTTCAAATAAGGTGAACTTCAGTTAAATTTCATTTAAGGTTAGAATTTAGTTTTACTTGTAATTTTACTAATCCTAAATTGTGTTGAGTGTTAAAACATTTTTTGGACATCCATGATTGTAATTTAGAAATGTATTTTTGGTAATAAATTGTTAAAATGTTTGATGGAAAAGAAAAGTTTAATCCTTCTTTTCATAAAATAACAACTCCTATGAAATAATGACACATTTTATAAAAGATAAAAAAAATGTATTATATGACACCATGTGGTTGAGTGGTTAGAACATTCTGCCCATAAGACCTGGGTTTGACTCACACCATGGTCAATTTGTCAATATCATCTTTTGATGTTATTAGCCTGGGGAGGCAATCCCACTCTGCAGTACCTTTTGCAAAGTACCTGAAAAGCATACCACAGTATTGTGATTGGGGGTTTCGAGTGTACTGGATTTATTCAAACTATTGATCACGACAGATGTGTTCTCTCCTAGAAAATGTAACTAAAAGTCTGCTCAGCATAGTTGCAGAATAAACCACAGGTTGGCTCTGTGGGTATTGAACAAACACAAATGTGCCTAACAGGGGTTGGCTAACTACCTTAGCAGACAAACCTAGTTGGATACAAGCGACCAGCCATTATTTTATATATATATATATATATACACACACACACACACACACACATATATATGCATACACCTATATATATATATATATATATATATATATATATATGTTTTAATAGAGATATCATAATTTCACAGACGGGATTATTTTATGTGGCATTTAGTATTTTTTTTATTTTTTAACATTTTTTCATTTCAATGTTTGGATTTTCTTTCAGCTTTTAGAACATACACAATCCTTATCAGAGTGTTCCTGAATATAAGTACCTCAATATTGCTAATTAAAGTGGAAATTGCTTTATTTTTCTTTTGAAGCAGTTTAATAGTTTTGTGCAAACAAAAATCTTTAAATCAAGTGCTGTTTTTTCTGTCATGGTAACACACATTCACAAACAGAAATTCCAGCATAATATTTTCCTTTTCTTTTTTTTTTCTGGCAAAGCATTAGTTAATACTGGATTGAAGTCTCTTCCTAAATCCTATTTTTGGCATCAAGCAAATAAAATCATTTTCTTATGTCAATGGTGTTTGTGTAGAGAAGATAAATTTCTAAGAAACATGACTATATGAAAATGTATTTTCTGATTCAGTTCCAGAATACCATTTCTGAGGGCGAAGTCTTCAAGACATTCATCAAAGATGACTACGGAAGAATCAATGGCAAAACTAAAGTCATTGATTACATGCAGTGGAAAGTAAGTTTGTTCATCTTTTTTGTCTTTGTTTCAATCTCTCCTCATGTTTATCTAAAATGCAGTTGACATTTTTCCATGCCCTGGAAGTAGTGATGAGCAGTGATAGGCTTGCAACATTTCTGTGGGAAAGGGGTTGTAGGATGGAAAATAATTGATCACCTACTAGGCTGCATAGATACTTTTAAATTCAAACAAGACAGGCAAGTGAAGACTGGGCAGCTCAAGTTAAAATATACTCCATTATCAATTTAATCTGACTCTTGTAAAGATAAAGTATATCAAGAGGAGTCACTAACTTACTGCAGTAGTCCAATGAACTAACCATTTTCCAGTATCTTTAGCAATAGATCGGATAGATGAATTCCATCTGTGGTCTGGTGAGAGCATGTACCAATAGATGTTCAAGGCAAGATGATCCATCCATCATGGTAGGTGAAAGTTTGGAGATCTGCTAGGTGGTGATGGTGGCAGAATATTACTAGTTTGGTTTTGACCATATTGAATGTTACAAGCCAGTCCTTTCCCCACTGAGACGCTTGGGCTGGGTTAGAGGGGAGATGAGTTACTAGGTTCTGGTCTTTTAGAGGTGCATAATCCACATAGATACTCACTAATGATTGGAATCTGGTTTTAGGGTGATCATTAACATAGAGCAGAAAGAGAGTAGGAATGAGGCGAGAATCCTGTAGGAGGATGGCATTAGTCAGGGGTTTCTGATGATTGGCTGTTAATGACTTTCAGGGACCTACCTGTTAGGAAACACTTGATACTTGAGAGTGCTCTTCCAGAGATTCTATGCTGAGTATCATGCTGAATCCACCCAAATGAAGTTGTGTGTTGGCTGACTTTGATATGATGTCTTTCATTAATCATCAATTTATGCTTCTTGCTGAAGAATGTTTTCTATTCTGTGTTATATATGTGTTACTACATCTGTGTCCTGTAGTTTTTTTGAATACTGAATTATTAAGCTATTCACTTTTTGTTTACTTGCATTTATTTCTAATATCTTGGCTTAACATTGTATATTCTGAACCATTTCTGCATGATCTGTCTTTCAATAGATTAAGAATTTCACCTGTCATTCCTTTTTGTCTCTTTTTCTTATGAGATGATGTATTTTACTGTTGGTGTTAATGTTTCCCTTAAGAAACATTAACACCATGAAACATGAACAGACCAGGTTCTATAGCCTGAGAGTTCCTGGTCTGTTCCAAAATTTCCTTCTCTTTAACTGCATATATTTATGCTGTGAAGTTTGCCATTTACTTTAGGCCTCTTGAATTTTTATAATTTTAACCTTAATTTGTCTATGAAATGGTGCAGTAATGGATAGCAGCTTGGATTGAGAAATCAGTGAGCTGAATTTGAATTCCAGTCAAATCCATTACATTTACTTACATGCTAATACCCTTGGGAAAGGTATTAATCCTCTTCTCCCACTAGCTATGGGTAAATAGCAGGACAGACCGGGTTCTATAGCCTTGGATGGCAACTAGTCTGCCACAGAAATGGCAACCTACTGCAGGAAAAAAATCTGCTTTGTCAGTCATGTATCGAAAGATACATAATTGCCTAAGCATGTATCACACATGGCGTATAACTGACTGTCTATGAATGTGTGGTGATCAAATGCAGTCAGCATTGGGGTATTTTTAGATGAATATTATTATTTTTTTAGATTTATTTTAGAGTGTCAAACCATCATTTGTTGATGGTTATGTAGGTTTTTTTCAAGTCCACAAACCTTGGGTGTTCTTCAAATCAAGTGTTGGTAATTACTTGGCCATTCACTGTATAAAAATGAATTTATTTTTCTCAGTGTTTATTACCTGATCCCAAGTCCATACCTACCAACCATTTCAATATTTTTACTCTTACTACTTTTTCCTTTAGATTATACATTATGATTTCTTAGGATTTGCTATGAGATTCTATATTTTGTCTGTTTTAAAATGTATTTCTTCACCTATGATCAGCATATTGAATGACTTTTGTTTAATTTTTGTGTCTGTGCCCCATCTTTCTGCAATGTCTCTCATTAATGTCTTTTTCCTTTCTCAGCTGCAATGTTGTGGAGGACAAGGCTACAATGACTACATTGATTCTTATTGGATGAACAAGAATGAAAAGCACAAAGACCAGGTGCCTTTATCCTGTTGCCGTGACTACAGAGCCAACGAGTCTCCTGGCATCAACAGCGTTGGATGCAGTATAAATTCCAGAGATGACAACTTGATCCATAAAAGGGTAATTTTTTTTTTTTTTTTTTTTTTTTTTTGTGAAAGAATGCTGTTTGGAATTATTTTGGTAAGTCAGCCAAAAATATATTGTGATGCAATTAGAGATGTAATATTGGTTGACCATCACTTAAACTTGGACGATGTTGATTTCTCTAATTATAAGTAAACAGTTGGCATCTCTAAGCTGATAGCTAACAGCTTTAGCTGATATTATTTTTTTTAACCCTGTTAATCACTACAAATAGGTTAATAAGCGAGATATGTCATATCATTAATTGCTGTTTGCAAATAAATTGCCATTAGTAATAAGAATAAATGTTTAGTTGAATGAGATGAAGAAAAATACTTTCTGCATAAAAAAAATATTTTAAGTTGGAATATGTTTAATTTGACAAGGTAATGTAAATTCTCTGAGGTGAAAATTAAACCAAGGGATGCATTTTATATAAAATAAATGTATTTGAATTAATTTTTATTCTTTGTAAATGCTGTTTGATTTTTTTTTATTTTAATTTCCTCTGATTGTTGCTAATATCAGCAAAAAAGGGGCCACTTATCTTGACCAGTTTTGTGAGATCAGTGAAAAATAAAATTTTGTATCTTTATTTCAGGGCTGTGGTCATGCAATTGTCAACTTAGTTGAACAACACCTCTTACCAATCACAGGAATAGTCATTGCTATACTTGCTTTGCAAGTAAGTGAACTCCTTTTTTTTTCCATTTATGTCAAAATAGTCACTTCAGATAAAATAATTTGCTACTCTCTAGGCAAAGTAATTTGGGGAATTTTTTGTATATCTCTTTCGTAATAAAATGCTTGTAATTACATCATTATTAATGTTTTATAGAAATGTACAATTTTGAAACAATCTCAGGACACTCAAGTTATTTTGGGACAATGTTTTGTGCTTATGTAGTGTTTTTTTTTTTTTTTAAATTTGAGAAACTCAAAATTAAATTTCAAATTTTTTAAATATATTTAATTACTTCAACATAAATGAAATTATTTGATGACCTTTCCTCTTTGGTATGTCCACTTTATGAATTTAAGTGCAGTACCAGATTGGCATCTAGGTTTCCTCATTTTATGTTGCAATTGCTAGATGGAACTGTAAGTTCTATGCTAATAATTTCTTCTTTTTACTTGTGGAACTCTTTCAGCTTCTTGTTTTCTAGTCATCTTGAAACATTTAAATGTAATGTCAATCATCTTCCTGTTTTGCTTCCTCTCTTTTTCCATAATTTTGTTTTCTCAGATTCTTTCATACTTGCATCTTAGAGGCTTTATTGCATTGCTTGGGTTGAAATGATCAAAAAATATTTATTGCGAGAACAAGTTTTAAAGGTGGAAGGTTGAATAAGGCAAAATAATATTTCAATAAGAAAATCTGAGACAAAACAAACTCTAGGATATCAATTAGAAAATACTAAATGTCTTATTAGAAAAGAACATTTTATGTTACATAATCATAAAAGGAAAATCACAAAAAACAAAAAAAAAATCCTCTTCCTTTCTTGTTTATCAATTGTAATAATTGAATACCCGCATAAAAATCAGAAAATAAATTTTCTGTACACAAATTTCTTCATTTTGTTACAATGATATCTCAGTATCCACAATGCAACATCCATCTTGCGTCTGTTTAATCCTCTAACTTGTGTATGAATCTTATTGTAGCAGAAAGCTATTTACAGAGTGAGAAAACAAACACCAGCCTCTACTATTTTTGCTGTTTTTAACCATAACTGGGGTTAGGCAGAAGTATGCTTTTCATTTTTAATTTTGGATCCAACCAAATCGAGAGAGTTTGGTCTGCCCTATTATTTTACCTCTATACTTACCAGTATATAATAAAACTTTGGAAACCTTTTTTTATTTTTTCCTTCTCTCTTAGTGTGATAAACTAAAATTTCTTTGTTTCCTGAATTCAAAGTCTTTCTCTTCACATGACCATTTTATGGTTGAAATATCAATTCTTTCCCAAATCATAAACAACTGTTTACTTTTAATGATTTAGTCTAAAAACTATGAAGTAAAAAAAAAAAAAAAATTGAATGTATAAATGACATGCACATCATTTATAATCTGGTTAATTTAGAAGATGCCAGAATATTTTGAACTTTGGAGACATTCCTTTGAGGATAAACCACTTCAAATCTGTGGTTAATTTACTGAAGCCATCTTGATGGGGGTCATTAGTTATACATGACAAAGGCAATTGTTTAGGTTTTATAAGAATTTCACTTTGTTTTCAATGAAAAAGTGAAAAATAAAGAAATTTTGATGAATTTTTAGAATTTCTCATTAAAAATTGTCTAGAAAATTGTTGTATTTTACAATATTTTACTTCTGTCCCTGATATTGATAGTCTTAAAAGAATTTATAATACTACCAATATAGAATTTTTCAACTGCTGGATTCTCTATTGTAGAGATAGTACTAAGATAAACCCGAGACTTAATTAAACATTTGTTTAGCAATGGACATTGGTCAGAATTCCTACAATTACATTGGCCAATATCATTAATATTTATCTTGGAATGTGTATTATGATCCAGATCATTAAATTGGTTTGAAATTTTATTATTGTGTAATTTTATAATCTTCTCAAGATTATTAGTGCAGCTATAACTTAGTTTTAATGTGTTTCTGTTAAATGTTTTATTAAGAGGCTTACTTTTAGGAAAATGTTTATCAATCAAATGGAGGAACTTATGGCCTAACTTAGTACTAACTAATTGATTAAATGAGGGTGTGTACCAAATGATCTTCCTATACTACTTCTTTTCTTTGGACCACTATCATCATATTTTTTAAATTTCAGTGTACTATCACTATTCTTTAAAACTATTATAAACACCACTATATTTACCAAACACATCTTTGTCCGACGAGTGGTTGCTAATCCTATGTGCCACAAATGAAGTTATATGTTGGATTACAGATGGAGGGTGGTTAGAATTGGAGTGAATATAAATTGAGTTGGCATTATTTTTCATATAAGGTTGAAATATATCATTAACGAAAAATCTAACATAACATCAAGAAGAACTACTTGTTTAACATTAGTACTTATCTTAACCTTCAGATTTAAATTTTTTAGTTCTCTATGAATCATTTTTCTTAATTTATCTACCTTAATTTTAGTAGAATTTTTTACTTCCATAAGACTGTCATCTCTATATTATCAACATTGACATCTTTATAGGCAGTAAGGTTTATATAAAATAAATAAACCCATCAGATCAGAAGTCTCTGCAGAATCTTCATGTGCTGTGTCCTTTCAGGACATAGGTAATCATGGCTCTCCACTTCCCCCTAACCCTTGTAGCTTTCAATAAGTTTTGTCCCTTTGCTGCTTCTCCCAAACCCTGTTCTGTTATCAACTTGCTTAAGCCCGCTAGATATGTCACGTGTTGCTTTCCCTTGTCTCTCTTTCCCTCTATTCGCCCTGTGAGTATCAGATTCTCCAAGCCCTTCTTTTTCATTACGAAATTTCAGCTGCCTCTTCCTGATGTTAAGTTTAAGCTTCCTCCTTGTTTGCATCCTCTCCAAAACCTCTGCAAAATCTAATGATCCCATTGAAATATCAAAGTAATCATAAGAGTTCTTAACCCAGTGTTCTTTATTGTGGATGAGAAATAATCTACAGTTCATTATTATATTTATCTCTTCACTGGAGATGTTAGAATATTTTTTGGCAAATTCCAAAGCCAGGATAAAGAGATCCTTGGAGATGGAAGGGTAAAATCCACAATATTAAACTGGATAAAAGAGCAGTTGCTTTTGTTACTAATACTTCTAATCCAATTAATGACTTCTGTGGTACCAATCCAGTGTATAAGTCCAAGGTATTGTTTGAGCTATTTGTTAACCTGATCCAGGATAACTTTGATCCTTCTGATTTCTGGTCTGATAGAGTTTATGATTCTTGTAGGAAGTTTAGTCTGAAAGTCTGGTTTATGATCTTTAAGTAAAAATAATTCTTTAGTACAGAGTTTACTAACCCTATTACTAATTTTAAGTTTAACACTGTTTCTAGAAATATTACTGATAATGTTATCAACACAATTAATATTGTTAATATCTATATTTTTATAATTCTTAGTTAAATTGTTTTTGGTTAAGGCATTGTATTCTTTGAGATTAAATTTGTAAAAATTAGTAGTTTTATCAGATTTAACAAATATTTGGTTGGATTGATTAATATCCCTAACTATACAATCTAAATGCCTCTGAAACTGATTCCTATTTTTATGAAATGTGATGTCATTTATAATGATTAATAGATCAGTTTCAAAGCTGTGTAAGCTTTCAATGAGAGGTGCTGTTTTTAAGCTCCTAAACCCATGAGGATCTGATATATTAGAAACATTTTCATCAAGAAGGAAGAAGTGGGTTTTCTATCTCGTTCTTCTAATCAGATCCTCAGTCTTTAAAACCAGTTTTTCAAAATATTTTCGTTTGTTTGTGATGGGAATGTTTTTCAACAAAATTCAAAAATTGATCTTTTCCCTGTTAGAGTATTAAATAAATGTAAACAGTGCTCAACACTAGGGGATCAAAAATATCTCACACACACACACAGGGATTGGTAAATGGTTGCCATTTTATATTTTTAATTTTGCACATGCACTTTGTTTTTGTCAACTGCACAGTGTTATAGGGTCAATTGGGCACTGTCTGTGAGAAAAAAAAAGCACCATGATGCAATTCACTCCACCAGAAATTTGGAAATAGCATGCTGTACTGCTTGGCATTTGCACCGGAAGCTCCAATGAAAACATTTCAGAGTGTTTGGGTGTCAATCTGTGGTCAGTGCAGAGGATTTGGAAAGAGTTGGATGAGTCTGATGTTGATTACGAAGGTACAGCAGCTTGAAAAACTCACTTCAATCATTCTGATAAGAAAAAAACTCTTGCATTTGTTGGTGAGGGCCTCAGACTCAACATGGTGGCCTTGAAAAGGTAGTGCTTCCTTAGGTCAAGAGGGTGGCTGCTCAAAGTCCTTTGTCTGGCAACATGACTCTGCACCATGCCACTCAAGCTGAAGAACCTAGTCATGGCTGTGAGACAATTTCTGCAACCACATCACCCCTTACATCTGGCCACCTAACTCCCCAAACTGCAACTCCCTAATTTATTATGTGTGGGGTGCAATTGAGCAAGAGACTAATAAAACTTCTTGTAGCACCAAAGATGAACTGAAAGTAAGGATTATGGCAACATTCACTAACTTAAACAAGGAGACCATCCAGAAGAGTTTGAGGAGATTCTAAAGTTATCTGGAGGCCATGGTTGAAGCCAATTGTGATTTTATTAAATAAATTTACTCTTTAGTATTTCAAGATATTATTTTTGTGCAATTTTGATAAATATATCTGTTAAAATGAGATGTCAGTGTTATTTTCATTTTTGTATAATTTAGATGACAATTTATACATCACATCCTGTATGCATGTATGTATGTATGTATGTATATAATAGTGCCAAGCAGGGAGACATTCCTGCTCCTACAATTTTTGCCTTATCCTTTTCAATGGTGTTTGCAATAGCTTTTAAGGATTGCCCTCATGGCATCTACATTAGGTATTGCATGTCAGGAAAATTGTTTAATTTGTAGTGCATGGCTGCCAACACTAGGGTACAAAATGCCCTCATCTGAGAATTCCTGTATAATGATGACTGTGATTTATTTGCTCGTTCTGAGAGTGACATGCAACATTTGATTGATTTGTTCTCTAATGTTTGCACAGTACTGGGACTGACAATAAGACTGTTGTCATGTATTGACCTGCCCCTGTTAAAGAATATGGTGAGCATTCAGTGTATGAGCAGAAGTTGAAGGTTACACATAGGTTTGTCTACTTAGGTAGCACTTTGAACAACTCATGCACCCTTGACTATGAAGTATCCTTGTGAATTAAAGTTGTACACCGTTATACCTATGAGGTATCTCTTGGCAAAGTGAATGATCATTTGTAGTTGTGATGTGGCATATCTCTAGACACAAAAGTTAAGGTAATAAGACCTGCATTTTATCCACCCTTCTTTAAGTTTGTGAGACATTGGTAGCATATAGGAGACACCTGAAGATGTTAGAACATTTTCACCAAGTGTCTGAGAAAGATTGCTTGAATTTGCTGGCAGATCCCCATTAGTGTAAGTGCATGAGCATTGAAAGCATCATCTAGCAACATCATCTTAGGTGTTGTGGTCATATGGTGAGAATGGGAGATCAGCAACTTCCAAAACAGCTTTTCTATGGGGAGTTGTCTGAGGGGAAGCAACCATACCACAAACCTAAAGTAAGGTTCAAAGATTTCCTGAAGCAATCACTGACAAATGACACAAATTGCACTTGATGACTTGGAGAATGCTGCTTTGGATTGTGGCAGCTGGAAGCATTCCTTGAAAGCAGGTGCAAGTGCATTTAAAGATCAGAGTAAAAAGCATTAGCAGTTGAAATCTCAGAAAAGTCAAAAATATTGAATTCCCAGTGTATGTTGGCATTGAATGTGATTTCACATGTCTTCAATGTGGTAAAAAATGCCTAAGTAAAGCAGGCCTCAAAAGTCACCAGCGACGTCACATGAACTACAACATTCTTAACTACCATGAAGATGGTCTGAAAATATGTTGTGAAAAAGAGCATGCTTCAATAAAGAGATACATGAAAATTCATTACAATAACCAGGAAGCAGCAGCAGCCACACACGTCATGGGTCTTCTCAGCTGTAACATTTGTGGTAAAAAAATAAGTCCCTGGCTGGCTTAAAGAGTCATATAAGAGCAAGACATGTATAGATTGAACAATACTCAAGTATGAGTTTGCAGCCATCATATATATATATATATATATATATATATATATATAAAGGAAGAAAATTTTTCAGCCTCTATTTCCACCTCAATGTCTATGGGAACTCTGCCTATTGAGAGAGTTCTATATTAAGATTAGATAAATCCAAATATTTTAAATGCCCCACATTTAATCTCCAAAAGAGATTATCATTTTAAATTTTTAGATACACATTTTTGTTATTGTATTAATTTTTTTGTCTTATTGCTGCCTCTTTTTTCCTTTTCTTTTGCAATGTTTAACCTTCTGAGGGAGTCAAAAGTGTATACAGTAATAGCAATGTCAAGGGAATAACTGTCCTTTTGATGCCTCATTTTTTTTTTGCAGGCACTATAGTTAAACATTGACTTTTTTTCCACAAAATGTTGTCAATAGTCTCTTTGAGCGTCATAGCAAATAGCTTTAAAATTGGAGATCAAAAAGTGCCATCCCAGATTTTTGGCAGTGTGTTTGTTATTGTTGATAGATGTCCTAACCACTTTGATAATGGAAGCCTGATGATGGTTCTAGGCTCTGAAGTTGTGGTCCAAGGATTCAAGTCTTGTTAGAGATTTTTATTTAGTCATAGGAGGACCAGAATGTTGATTAAAAGTAACAGTAAATTAGAAAAAAAAAATGTTATGCAAGACTTGTTTACATTTTCAGCAATAGTTTTTACCAAAATCTTTCCTTTAGCCATGGAGAATTGATTAATATTGTAATCTCTTATTTTCACCATCCTTTTTTTATTTTTCAGCTTTTTGGATTCCTTTTCATTGTGCTGCTCATTTGTTACCTGCGGAAACCTCCACCCCAACAACCAGATGACGTGGTATATGAGATGGCCCGTACCCAGGAGAAGGCTCCATATCCCACCCGTGGAAACACTTATTCAAATTTGTAATTTCTTCAACATTTACTCAAACCCTTTTTCACTGCTGCATGCTGACCTTCTACCATCTTGAGCACACATCTCACTACACACACACATGTCTTATTCTCAGTGTGTCTTTTTTTCTCTCTCGCTCGCTGTATGTAGGATGTGTGCCCCTTATTATGTGGATGAGGGTCACTGCACGTAGTGAGTGCGGTTTGTGACATGGATCATTTGGATTCGGGGAAAGAGGTATCCACATGGTACCGAACGAGGATTACTACATCATTAGAACTGGACCATCTCTCCAGTTACAATGGCATTTCATCACTGCTTGATTTAAAACAACAAAAATATATCCACATATATATGTTGTAATAATATCACCTTTTTTATTACTGTATTGTAAGTCAACTTTTTTTTTATCCTTCCTTTCTTGTCAGTCTCTGTCCAAGTTAATTCTACAACTGTTTGTATAAAGTTAGCTCTTTAGTTTGATATGAAATGGCTTGTAGGCTTTGACAACATCAATTTCAAAGTGTGTCTATCAAAAAAAAAAAATATTGCAGTTTAATGGTGAACTGGATTTTGATTTGCAAAACATGTTTGAAAATTAATCATTTGTCTGGGTTGTAGAGTATTTATAAAATGTTTTTTTTTTTTTTTTTTTCACTTTTTTATATCTAAAGGTATCTTGATATTTTGCCTGTGTTGAGTGGGGGCAAATAAAAAAATCTTTTAATAAACAATAAAATCATATTTTCTTTTAAGATTTTTTTTTTTTTTAAAATAGATACACAAATATCACTTTTCTTTGACTTAGTCATCCATTATCATTTTATAATCTTAAAAATGATAATGTAGATCAGCATTCATTAAATCTCTCTTGGGATTAATGACTCTTTTACTAATCTGATATTATTCAAAAAACATTTCTCAACAATAAAATGTTATTTTCCTACAACTCGGTGACTTAATTTTCAATAAACTATTTTAATATTCAAAATAGAATTTTTGGTTACTTTTCAATGCAAAACTTTCCTTTCAATGCTCAAAATAAAGAACAAAAAGAAAAAGATACCATATTTTGGTATAAACATTAAATGCCAATTCTACATATTAAAAGTGATATAGAAGAAGAAAAAGATAACAATTCCTGTTCTCTTGTGGGAAATAATAAAGAAGCATATACAGCAAAGCATATCTGAGTTTAAAACTGAAATCTTTAGAAATTTCAAAACAAGATTTTAGCTACTTTTTCTAGACATTTGTTAATCTTTGAAAAGTTATTTTTTGGGCATAGATTTATATTTTCTTATTTTTCATACAATGTTTTAGAAGCAGTTTAATCCTCATGTTTGATCTTTGGTTTATAATTCTCACATCTCGGGGGTGGGAAAAATGAAATTGTTGCTTCTTGACTTAAACTTGAAACAAAAAACAAAACAAAAAAAAAAAAAACAAACCCAAAAACTGACCAATTAAGCAAAATCATTCCATTTACGTTTTTACAGATTGCAAAAAGGAAGACATATAAAATGGATTTTTGAATTTTTAATTTTACTGAGGAAAAAACGATTTTTTTTTTTTTTATTTTATTTATTTTTTTTTTCTGTGAAGCTAATCTATAATCATTCCTTTTTTTCATATTGACTGGTTTTTATTTTTTAGTTTCATTTCTGCATTCAAATGTTGGACAAGAATATTTTTTTTACTTTTATTAAATAAATGTAAGATGTTGTCAATATTTACTTAAAATCTATCAAATTCAAATTTCTAAAAAACAAAAAATAAATACACTTGGAACAGAGATTTGAAGGAAAAACTGATTCTTCAATTTAAACATTTTGTCATTTTTTAAAATGCAGTGCAATATTATGTGGATTTGCTGTATAAAGCAAAATTATTCCTTTTTATAGATTTCATTTAATTATTCTTGAAAATGAAAAAAACACAAATAAACATGGCTAATAAGATAAAAAAAAATCATAAATAAAATGAATTATCTGGCCAACTGCTCTTCAGTGTACAGAAAAAAAACTGCTTGGACCTGCCATTTGTAGCAATGATGGCTTTGGTGGATATTGTGGTCCAATTGTCTCTCTCTCTCTCTTTAGCATGTTTTCACTGGGGAGGGGGGGAAATGATAACCCAAAAAATAAAAATGAACAACTGATTAAATAATTAAAGTAAATCCTTGCTTTTTGGCACTTTCCTGTCTTTATTTGTGCCAACAGTGTGCATATAAATATATACATATATAAACATATATTAGAAAAAAAAAAAAAAAAAAAACTTAAAAGAATCATTCTTTCTCCGTGCAATTTTGACATTCATGTTAATTATTATATTGACTTAAATTGTATCATGGATCAAAATGTTAAATTTGTATATTAAACAAAAATTGGGATTTTTGTGTATAATTTTCTTTTAAGCTTCTTTTTAGTTGTATAATCTTCAATTGTGTTTAAATTGTCTGATGTAATCTATGAACAAATTTCTCCCATTTTTCAAACAAAATTCTCAAAAAAAAAAAAAAAAAACGCAGATAAAACATCTTAAAGAAATCCTTAAATAAAAAATATCTTTAAGATGGACCTTTTTTTTTTTTTTTAAACATAAAGCTTTTTTTCTTTTCTATCTCAAACAGTATTTGAATTATCACTTTGATCCTTCAGCTATCAGATGTCACTTTTCTAAACAAGAGGATTCAAGTGTTTCTTTAAAAAAAATTGCTGTTATTTTTGTTTTCAATATAATAATTTCATAAAATGGAAGTATATATCAAATATGCTTAATAGTTCTCCTTTTTTTGTTTCCATTTTACACTTTCAATACATATGAAATTCATTGCCACTTTCTTTTTCATAAATTTTCATTTTATTATAGATATATTAAAAAAAAAGAAAGAATAACCCTGAAGTATCTTTTTATCCTTTGTCTTCATAATTTTAGGGGCATCTGTTTTTATTATTTATTTTTTACATTATTTTGAACTCTTGTATCCCAAGAATCGACTCTATTCTGAGCACCCAAAAATACACAAATCTCTGTCACAATTCGCACCATTCTCCTTCTAAAGTGATTGTTTATGAGAAAAGGAGAAAAAGAATTTCAAAACAATTAATTTCCCTATTTTAAGGTTAAAAAAGAAAAAAGCCGTAGAATCATTAAAATGTTGCATTTTTCTTTTTGGCCTGAGCCCAGCTCAACTTCACGTAAGGTCTGAGTTTGATTCCCTTCACTTCAGAAACAAAATCTTTTGTCCTTCTAGGCAAAGTCTCTCTTAAGCTCAGGGAATAGTGGCTTTTTTTTGCTTTTTTATCCAATACAATTCATTAAACCTTATAAGTAAATTTGTATCTCAAAAATGTTTGAGGCATATTTTTTTAAATATAAGAATTCAATTTTTGACTCCCCTCCCACTTTATTTTTTATTTTTTTATTTTTCAAAAATGTTCAGATGTAAATTTTGTTATTTCTACAAAATTGGGCAGTTAAAAAGCAATTTCCTCTACAAATACTCTCACCAAATCCTAAGGGGCATAACTGTTAAAAAAAAAAAAAAAAAAAAAACACATTCACAGAAAAGCATCAACATCATTTTAAAAGGTAATAGCAAAGACATTTAAATCTTTTGTTTTTAAAATTAAGTAAATATTTGAATATAATTATTTTGAAACAACCTGGTTTTTTTAAAATACCTGAAGATATTTCCTTGATTTAGCCATTATAATTTGAACATTGAAACAATTAGTTTTGATTGGCAATGGCCAAGTTAACTTTTGTCAATTTGGAGTAATCAGTACCAGCCGAGTCCAAATGCTAGGTTCAGTATTCATCAGAAATTTATTGAACATCCTTAAAATTTTTCAGGCATAATTAAATCTAAGATTTTGAAAAGATATATTGTGAACTGATTATTCTCAAATATACTTACTATGCTTTTGTGCGCCCCCTGACCTTAAGATAATGAAAAAGAAAAAATTATGGAATGGATGTAAAAATGGTTTCTTCCAGTTGAACAAAAATATAAACTTTAATGATCAGATTATACACCAACAGTTTTTTTTTTTTTTTTAAATTGTAAAATTGGTGTAACAATGGTGTCGATTTTAATTCCATCTTTTCCTCTCACTTCCCAACTCATTTTTTTTAGTTATAAAAAAAAATGTAAAGAAAAAAGTCTTTTCTCTCTCTCTACATATTTTTAAATCTTTGAATGATAGAATTTTTCTATTTTTCATTTCAATCATACTTATTCTATCATTTAAATGCTTATATTAATAGAAAAATGTTTTGGGAGGGAGGACTTTTTTTTGTTTTTAATTACTGATTATGCAAATATTTGATTATCAGCATTTGTCTACACAAACACACACATCTTGATAAGAAAAGTCAAAATATTTGCTCAGAAATTAGATCAGGAAAGGGTTTATAAAATATTGGACCAAAATAGTCTGAAAAAATTTAATAAAAATGTCCTATATTTTTTAATCTTATCTAATATTTCTAATCTTAATTGCCATCTAACTTTTTATTTATAGTGACAGAACAAATAATAATAGTATTATGAATCATAGCTTTTAGGGGGTGATGGAATTTTAATGACGCATCCCTCACCTCCTTTATTCATACTATGTCACTACTGACTAGAATTTCTTAAAAGGAAAAGAAATATTATAAGTTCTAATTTTTTTTTTTTAAATTGACATATTGTCAGTACAGTTATCTTTGGGATGAAATAATTTTCTTTTTATTGTCTAAAATTTTTCTTTTACATTTTTGATGTGTTATACTTAGTCCTTAATATATTTTTATTTTTTTTTTGTCTTTGTTTTTTCTTTCATAACATTGTCAACCTTGATTACAAGCTTGTCTTTTAAAATTTACTTGTCAGTTGTTTATTTAACCAAAAACATTTTTCAAACAATTTGAAATGTTTGTCAGAACTGGGCCCAATTTTATTAAAATATAAAGAATTCATCGATTGTTTTTAAATGATTTCTTTAAAGTGTATTATTTATTTTCTGTTCTATTAATGACTAATCAGACATTTCCATCTTCAGCTACGTAAGCTTATGTGAAGTGGCAGGTTCATCGCATTAGAAACGCAATTTTAAGATGGAAAGCAAAAGTCCCAAATACTTGTCACATGTAAAGAAAATTTCTCAAACTGTTTTTGAGTCAGTCAAATTGATTCTTTAT